TATTTGGAAAGCAATTTCTCAATATCTCATAAAAATGCATATGGCTCAGCAATGTTGTTCCTAGATATGTTCACTAGAATACGTCTTACATTTTTATACAAAAAATGTAATAGAATATTTTATAGTGCTGCTTATGAGAGTAAAATACCATACAGTTATGAAAATTTATAGGTTGTTCTACAAGAATCAACATGGACTGATCTCAAAAGTATAATGCGGAGAGACAATAGCAAGTTGCAGATTAATAATGTATACTTTATTGTTTATATAACATTTTGGAACACACAAAACAATGTTATATGCTACTCATGGAGATACACACACACACACACACAACTTGGTGAGAATAAAAACATTTTTAAAACAAAAAGAATAAAATATACCCTGCAGTGATATCTACACAGAGGATAATGGTGATCTCTGAGGTTGGCAAGAGAGAAATAGGGCAAAGGAGAATTTTTTTATCTTTAATATTCATCAGCTCTGTTTTGTATGTGTTAAATAAATGTCTAAATTAAATGTTTTCCCATTAATAATAAGAAAAAAAAAGAAACTATCAAGATAATGATGTAAGATCTGGATGATTAATAGTATTCGGTCTAACATTCCACAAAAACACATCATGGTTAATGTGTGTACTCTTACTCTGTTCCTGATTTGGAGGGGTGGGTAAGACCCTCAGTGGTAGTTGCTGTTTCACTGGATACTAGATGGGTATGGATGGCATGAAGTATTCAAGCTATAAAAAGCACACTTTGGTCAATTTGCTATTCACCAACATTCCAATTATTCCAAGATAATTTATCCAGCTAACTGAACTTGTTTGCTTATTAGCAAATGTCCATTCCATAAATATTTATTGAGGCTTCTCTTGTGTTAGCATTATGGCAGTTTTTAAGGATTAAAGCTATGAAGACACGTTCATTCTGTCACTGAGGACAGACAGATATACAGACTTTTATTTTTTAGATAAACAGACTGTTAAAACATTGCGTAAGTGCTGTGAAATACATAAAAGGGACGAGAAGGCCAGTTGGGATGTGGTAGTCACTGAGAAGTTCCTGCAGGATCCTGAGTCCTGAAGGATGAGCAAGAGTTAGAAGACAAAAGAAGTTTCAGGGAATAAAGACACGAGAAACAGCAGTCATCATCTAGTCACAGGACTGTCCCTCAGTCCTTCACTCAGATTGTTGGCAACCCCTTTACCTGACCACAGCTGGTAAGAAATGGGTCGGGTTCTGGAAGCAGGCATACAGATAACAGCAAGAAATGAAAGCAGATACCGTGGATAGCTGGAACATTTGTTGACTGTCACCTGAACTCCGGGCAGTCTTCTGAGCATTTTCTGTATTTAACTCTGATCTTACAACTGTCCCCTGAAGCATACTTGTGTTATGATCTTCATGTTAAAGATAAAGAAACCAAGGCAAAGAAAAATTAGAGAACTTGCTCAAGATTACAGTTAGCTAAAAATCAGAATTCTAGTCAGTGCACATTGGATTTTGACAACTATACTATATTCAAAGAACAATAATTAAGCACCTACTATCGGCCAGGCACTGCACTTAGGTGTGAGGATGAAAGGATAAATTAGAACCAGTCTCTGCCCTCCCATAATTTATAGTTGGTGAATAAAGCATATATGGAAAGAAACAATTGGAACCACAGATATATGCTATAGTAGCAAAAGAAAGACAGATGGAGATATTACAGAGGAAAATATGATTTACTAGTTTATGGGGGGTTCCATTTTCCAAAATTTCACGTCTTTCTTTTTCCACCAAATATTCCTTTTCTGATAGTTTCTGGACCTCTTATAAATGCCTTTGCTCTGTTCTGATTTTATTCCAGTATGTAGAATATCTCTCAAAATATCATGTCCATGGACTGGGGATGTAGCTCAGTGGTAGAGTGTTTGCCTAGTAGTTACAAGGTTCTAGGTTCAGTCCCCAGCATCACAAAAATTGTCTAGAATTGCCCAAACTCAAGATATGCCCAGCACAGCAGCACTATAAACATCTGAATTCAGACAGAGGGTTGCTAATTTTCTCAGAGGCTGACAGGTTCACACTTCTATCTAGTGAGGGTCACTCCTTCACCAACTTACTCTTCCTCATGGGACATTTTGCCTCTCAGATACATTTCACCCCCAAAATGGTTGACAACTACTGATCTTTATTATACTTGTTATTACGCCTGCATTAGACTTTTAACAGCTTTATTGTGTTCTACTCACAGTGAGCTTGTGACTGACCCCAGCTGGTCTCAGATGCTTAACCAAAGGCTGCTGACAAATGGATATTCTCCACCCTGCTCTTGAGCAACCAATTTCTTTTTTAGTGTAAACTTAGAACTTTATATCCATCCCAGCAAAATTTCCTGGGCTATTTTTTTATTCTGTTTCTAGACCAAAACGATGTTGACTGTCATCTCAGTCAGTCTCAGTCTCTAAGCTAAACTTAGTTTCAGTGATCTGCATTTTGCATAAGCATACCTTAAATTTTTCTCAAATTATTTGAAAGAATTTTGGGTGGGATCATGACTGGTGCCTCATGCTATGGCACTGGAGAGCTTTCAGGGACAGGCTTTTTGCATTTGGTTGCTTATTCTGCTGGCAGGATCCTTTAGCTTACTAGCATCCACGTACTCCAAGACCTGAATGTACGCATGCACGCAGACACACGTGCACGCTTGGTTTTTCAAAATACCCTATTTTCCTAATCCATGATTACCAAAAAAAATTAAAGGGCAAAAAAAGAAAGAGTAATATGAAAATCCTTTTAAAGACACTTTCTTCTTCCTGCCTAAGCTAGCATTTGTTAGCAATTTGATAGCCTTCCATATATTTTTAATGCCTACGTGTTTGCATTTGTGCATCTGTTTATGTATGGTTTCTTCTCTTTTTTTGGTACCAGAGATTGAACTCAGGGGCACTTGACCACTGAGCCACATCTCCAGCCCTATTTTGTATTTTATTTAGAGACAGGGTCTCACTGAGTTGTTTAGCACCTTGCTTTTGCTAAGACTGGCTTTGAACTTGCGATCCTCCCGTCTCAGTCTCCTGAGCCACTGGGATTACAGGTTTGTGGCACCTCGCCTGGCTTTTAAATATAAATTAGATCATAGGGTATTATATTCAACTTGCTGATTTTACCCAATCCATTAAATTTTAGTGATCTTATTCTTTTAAATATTTACAAATCATGTTTTATAATTTGTTCTCAAATTTGCCAAATGTCTTGCTTACTAGTCTACAATTCTCAAAATAACATTTGTTCATGATGGTAACTATCAGCCCTTCAGGGTTAAATTATGATAAGTGTATTACAAGTTGAAGGGAAAGTTTTTTTGTCCATTCTAATGAGATTAACATCCAAAATGAGCAAAACAATTTTGAAACTTTACAAGTGAGTTTTTGTTCCAAAATAATAAATCATTTGTAATAAGAAAAGGAGAGCTGTAGCATTGATCTCATGTATATGCTAAGTGCTGTGCTAAATAATATCTCATTTAGTCTTTATATCAGTGTTGTGAGTTTATTATTATATTTCTTTTACAGAAGAGTAAACTGAAGCAACAGTTCTCATACAATATCCCAGTGATCACAGAGCTAGTTGGTGGATGATCTTTCTGTATCCAAAGCCCATGTTCTCCACTATTGTAGTCTGATGCCTCTCCAGCTTATTTAGTAATGTTCTTTAAACTTTTCAATTTAGTAAATGTTTATTGAGTGTGCCTACTGTATACCAGGATATTTGTATATTTGGCCAGAGGTTTGATACTGTGCAACCTGTCTAGTAAACTATTAAGTTATTTATTACTGCCAAAACCTTGGAAGCTTTGGAAGGAAATAAATTTGATGTTACTATAACTCCATCAATGAGCTATGCTCTTTTCCTGACACTTAATTTTATTTAAACTTTTTTTAATGTTATTAAAACATTATAACATTAAGTCATTTGTAAAGGCACATATCCTTTACCCCCTTTTTTTCTCCTCATTCTCGTCTTGACAGATATATAAATATTTATAAAGTTAGAATTATAGTGCACGTGACTTCATGTTGTACTTTCTTCATTGACTTCTTATAAATTGTTTCCTTTACCCTTAAAGCCTTCTTATTTATCACTTAAATGGCTGCATAATAAAATTTATCAAAGTCATATGACTTCATCCCATTCTGTTAATATTAGTTGAAGATTCCTATTTTTTTTTTTTTTTTTTTTGGTATTGGGAATTGAACTCAGGGGCAGTCAACCACTGAGCTACATCCCCAGCCCCATTTTTAAAATTTTATTTAGAGACAGGGTCTCAGTTGCTTAGCACCTGGCCATTGCTGAGGCTGGTTTTGAACTCACGATCCTCCTGCCTCTGCCTCCCGAGCCACTGAGATTACAGGCGTGAGCTACCACGCCTGGTTAGTTGAAAATTCTCATATGGTTTCACTAGTAAAATTCATCTGGGTCACCTTTCTGCTATTGATCCTTTATAGAAAAAATAGAGGGCTGGGGATGTGGCTCAAGCGGTAGCGCGCTCGCCTGGCATGCGTGCGGCCCGGGTTCGATCCTCAGCACCACATACAAACAAAGATGTTGTGTCCGCCGAGAACTAAAAAAAAAAATAAATATTAAAAAATTCTCTCTCTCTCTCTCTTTCTCTCCCACTCTTTCTTTAAAAAAAAAAAATTATCTTCTGTATATCCTTTAAAAAAAAAAAAAAAAGAAAAGAGAACTTCCCCTCATTAGAGGCCTATAGAAAAACCTTATCTTCATTATTAACAAGATTTAGTGTGTCTGTGTGTGAGGCAGTTCCTCTGGTCTTTTTTTTATTTCCTTAAAATATACTTGGCGTCACAGTTATTCTGATACTAAGTGAGAGATTCTATAGATCTTTGGACATTAAAATTGGTGTAGACAAGGTCATCAACCTTGACTGTCTTTCAGTAGTTGACAATTAGATGTTTTTAATGTGTTTATTTATTTGTGACTTTTTATTTTTAGAATGGATTCTTTCTTCTTGGCTGAAATGTTTAAATATCTGTATCTATTATTTGCTGATAAAGAAGACATTATTTTTGACATAGAAGATTACATCTTTACCACAGAAGCTCATCTGTTGCCCCTTTGGCTCTCTACTACAAATCAAAGCATCTCTAAGAAGAACACAGTGAGTTTTTTACTTAAGTATCTTATTCTTTTTTACATTTCTATGTATTTGTTTTATTTTCTAAGTAAAAGGTAATCCATGACTAGAATTTAATAAATACATGTATGCTAAGAGAAAAAGTAAATATAGTATTTTCTAATGTTTTTGTTAAATGTTTCTTTTAAATGAAATGTAAAGTAAAATCATTTTTATTTATATAAAATTCTTTTATATTGTAGACCTCAGAATATACAGAACTGGATGACAGTAATTTTGATTGGACTTGTCCAAATACTCAGATTCTCTTCCCTAATGATCCATTGTATGCCCAGAGCATTCGTGAACCCTTGAAAAATGTGGTGGATAAGAGCTGTCCACGAGGCATCAGCAGAGTGTAATGTATAATTTTGTGTTTATTAATACCAAAATTAATTATTCCCCCCCACACACGTTTTTTATCAGTGCATTATAGTTACACTCACTGATGGGATTTGTCGTTGCACATCTGTACATACGCACACCACAGTTAATTCTTAGTAGATGTCAGAGAGCTTAAGGAGCATATTCCATCAGCCAAGGCATTCACTTAGACCAAAAATATCACTCATTGTATTATTAGTAAAGTTATGCAGTGAAACTGATTTGCAGTCATGTATTATTTTGGAAATTTTCAATGAATCCTTTGTTTAATGAACTGAGTAATAGTAGTGGGCAGAATGTAACAGTTTTTAATATCTATAGCTCATTTTTATATAGAGGAAACATGCATAATAAAATATTTTTCCTGTGTCTGTAGTTGGTGGGTAGTGAAAACCAGGGTTTTGTTGTTTTGTTTTTATTTTTAAAGGTATTACTGATTCTTGGTTTAAATTCTGTTTGATTTGATGTGTTCATTTTCTTGCAGATAGTTACATTAGGGAGGCCATTATAAAGAAGTTAAAAAAATTTTTTTAAGTGAGCATTATTCACTAATACAAATATTGTTTTGTTTTAAATATTGGGAGAAAAAACTGTGTTTTGAGAGACAGACACCAATAATAACAAATCCCAACTACCTACTCTATGTCTTCAAAGAGTTTGAGTACTGTTGACTAATACTGCCTTATCTAGATGATATATATGCTTTTATAACTGGAAAGTATATTTGAAAGTTATACAACTTATTAATAACCTAAATTATGTGTAGAAAAATAAATGTTCTAGCTATTTCTGTTTTATTAGTTCTAAAATTAGCAAATTTGCGAATATCTAACATTTTAATTTGTCCTATGTTTTCTCTGTAATTCTAATTCATAATTTTTAAAGCCTTGCCTATAATTATTTTTAGCAGAGAGGAGAGTTTCAGAAGTGGAGCTAAACCCCCTCTGAGAGCCAGAGATTTCATGGCCACTAACCCTGAACATTTAGAAATACTGAAGAAGATGGGGGTGAGTTTGATTCACCTCAAAGATGGGAGAGTCCAGTTGGTCCAACATGCAATCCAAGTAAGACTTTGCTATACTAATTAGATACTGTCTCTTCTCTGCCCTTTTTGGTCTCCTTAGCATTAATAAGATAATGGCATCTGCCCTTTTTTTTTTTTTTTTTAATTTACAATACATGGTTTAGAGAATCAAGATTTTAGAATTTAGAAGTATCTTGGAAAGTAATCTAATTCTAACCCCTTTGTAGTATAATAACAATTAAATCATATTGGATATTTTGCTTATATTAATAGAGCCAAATGCAGGACCCAGAGCCAGGTGTGGTGCTGTACATCTATAATCCCAGTGATTTGGAGGCTGAGGCAGGAGGAGTACAAGTTTGAGGCCAGCCTCGGCAATTTAGTGAGACCTCTCAAAATAAAAAATAAAATGGGCCGGGCATGTGGCTTAGTGGTTAAGTGCCCCTCGGTTCAATCCCCAGTAAACCCCCACCCTCCCAAACAAATATAGGACCCATATCTAATTTTCTGTTTCTTGGTCCATCTTTTCATTATTATTTTAATTTCAAGTATAATTTTAGAAGTTAGTAATTACTTTTAATATTTATATCTCAGTGTTTCACATTATCTTACTTTCCAAAAAATTACCGAATCTAAGTATTTTATTCATTGTAGAAATCAAACTTTGTATGTATTTGTGACTAGGAAAGTAACATGTATTTTAAGGAAAATTGTATTGATTTTTACTTTAAAAGTTTTCATAACACGAGACCTTTACATTATTTACCTTATTAAGCACATAGATTCTGAGAAAATTTAGTTTGCTGAATGATTTTAAACTGGAATCATATTCAGTTGTATCTTCATCTTAAATTCGAATGTCCCATGACCTCACATTTCCCTCAGAGTTTTATTTCATCTCTATTCTTCATTAAAGAGGATGTTTTCTTCTTCATTGATTCACTCTCCCTCCCTAGTAGTGACAGTGGTGCCTCTAGCACTTTCACTTAGGCTCCAGTGATGAAATTGCCACCAAATGGCTTTTGATCCTTAATGTGCTTTAACTTTTCTCTAATTATTGACTGGTCCCTTCTTAAAACATTTTCCTTTCTGGTGTCCAGGATATTCTGGCAACACAGGTTTTTTGTTTGTTTGTTTTGTTCACTGCTTTGCAGATTCCTTTGTATTCCTTTCTTGGCATACTCCCTTAACATAGGTGCTACCTAAGACTCTAGGTGACATTCTTTTCTTTCTGTCCTTTTCTTCAGCAGCCTCCCTGTTTCTACAGCTCAGCTGTGATCTTTGTACTTCTTAGATGTAGTGTGAAAACCTACTACCTACAGTCCTAAACCCAGCCTTAATCTACCTGTTATACATTTCTGCATCTCAGTCTCAACCTGTCCAAACTTGAATCATCTCCTCCTCCTTTGCTCTCTTCCTACTTCTACTTCAGCCCATCTTTTATTTTTTTGTTCTCTATATTAGTAAACCCTAACATCATTCTTTTAAGTCAGGAACACTAGAAAATTGAGAATAGGCTTAAATTCTGCCCTCAACCCTCCAACTTTCATCAAGTCTTGTTGGTTTTTCTTGTAAAGCGTCAAGAATCCACCATCTTTTTTCTACAATGTTTTCCAACTTTTCCTTGGTTAAGATTCAATTTAAATGTTATTCTGATCTTTCTCAAATATACAAGCAAAATCAGTTATTTCCTATGATCTATTCCACTTTTTCACTTAAGAGACTTTAATCATAGTTAATTTTACATGTCTTTCTCCTTTAGAAGCATACTTACGGGGCTGTCTCCCCTGTGCCTAGGGAAGTGCTGTGATAGAATAGGTGCCTGATTTGTGTGTTCTGAATCAAATTGAATCTGCCTATTAGTTCATGATTCCAAGGAGGGAGGATATTGGTCAGATATGAGGTTTATCTCTTCGGTGCGGGGGGTGGTGGCAGTGGGGAAAATAAGCAAAAGGAGCCTTTGGGCAATTGATAGAAGTCCAGTTCTCAATCTGCATCAAAAGTTGTTTATAGAATAGTAAGAGACATTGATAAAAAAATTACAGATGTTATTTTCAGAAAATAGAATTCCTGGAAGTAATATTTATTTTGGGGACAAGTAAATAAGGCCCATAAGGCTAGGGCTATAGCTCAGTGGTAGAGCACATACTTTGCATGTATGAGCCCTTAGGTTCAATCCCAAGTACCACCAATTTAGCAGTGATCTAAAACTAAAAGGAGAAATTGTGAGTAGGAGACTATAGTGCAGTACACTTAGGAAATCAAAGACATGGTGGAAGTTTCCAGAAAGGAAGGATGAAACAAATCTGTTTGTTCCATAGGCTGCTAGTTCAATCGATGCTGAAGATGGATTGAGGTTCATGCAGGAGATGATTGAATTGTCAAGTCAGCAGCAAAAAGAGCAGCAACTGCCTCCACGAGCTGTGCAAATTGTCTCTCACCCATTTTTTGGCAGGGTAGTGTTGACTGCCGGACCAGCTCAATTTGGGCTGGATCTGTCTAAACATAAGGAGGTATGTCCACTTGAAATAGGCTTGTCAAAACTGAATTTAAAATATTTAGTATTATCTAATTTCTTTGTCTCTAACTTAGTAGTTTTAATTTATTTTTAAAAACCTATAGGGTTTTGATCTCCAGCACCCCCTCCCATATTTAAAATATAAAATAAATAAAAACCTAGGAGCTAGGGCTATAGCTCAGTGGTAGAGCACATGATTAGCGTGTATGAGCCCCTAGATTCAATCCCGAGTACCATCAAAAAAAACTAGTCTCCCAGATTTAATAAAATTAAAGTATATCTTGTATGTAATGTGCATATACAATTTTATTTAAAATATTTTTTAGAGATGAATAGAGGGAAGAGAACAGGGTATGGGGAGAGGGAAGAGGAAGGAGAGGTATCCGGGTCTGAATTAGAACAAGATGTATTCTATGCTTGTATAATTATGTCAAAATGGATTCTACTATCATGTGTAACTAAAAAGAACCCATAAAATATATATATATATATATTTTGGGGGGAATTGGCATGTAGTTCAGCAGTAGAACATATGCTTCATGTGTGTGGGTCCCTAGGTTTAATCCCCAGCACTTAAAAACTACAAAGTAAAATAAAATATTGCTCAGATTCTATGATCTTACTACCTTAATTTATATAAAAAATGATTTTCAGGGGCTGGGTTTGTAGCTCAGTGGTAGAGCACTTGCCTAGCATGTGTGAGGTGCTGGGTTCAATCCTCAGCACCACATAAAAATAAATAAAATAAAGGTAGTATGTCCATCTACAACTAAAAATATCTTTTAAAAAAAAAATTATTTTCAGACCTTTTAACAACTAGTAGAACCTTTATTTGAACAAAAATATAACTTAGGAGCTTAATATAGAAAATAGCTAAAACTGTTGTATCTTGGAGCAAATTATGTTAACCTTGGCCTGAGTTGCCCCGTAACAAGATGGAAATATGTGCATTGTTTCATTCAGTCATCCTACAGATCAGGTTTAATAATTTCTGAAAAATGTTTTACAAAATACAAAAGCACAATACAAATACAAAGCACAATGGAGTACTGTTACAAAATGTTAACAAAAATTTTGCTAAATTATATTAGATATGTTATCATTAGAAAAGAAATGAGTTCTAATTTCATTAAAGCTATAGACTTTATCGAGGTTTAATGACTAGATTGTAATATGAGAAGATAGAAGATTTGAGTTACTTTTATTTCTGACAGACGCGAGGATTTGTGGCAAGCAGTAAACCATACAATGGCTGTTCAGAGCTTACTAACCCCGAGGCAGTGATGGGAAAAATTGCACTGATACAAAGAGGACAGTGCATGTTTGCAGAAAAGGCTCGAAACATCCAGAATGCTGGAGCCATCGGTGGCATTGTCATTGGTAAGTAAGCCTCTGTGCCATTGTGTCGACCAGGGAGAGAGAAGCTTTAGAATTCTTCTTTTTGTTTTCTAAAGTTTTATTAAAGAGTTGTCATTTTTATTTTGAGAACATAAATGACAGATAATTCAATGACTTAATAATTTCTCTATTATAATATCTTTTTTTGAAAGCGTAGATACCTGTTTCTGTATGTTAATATCAGTGAAAATATTTGGGGTAAAGAGTGAGGGTGGTGGGAGGAGTAGTAAAAATGCTCAATACTGTGGAAAAGAAAATATACCCATGAGACTCCTTAAGGCAAGAATTATACTCTGCCAGCTCCAGTGGGGAGCCCCTGACAACTTCTGTTCTCTCTCAGAGATGCAGGCTTTGGAGCCAGAGACATGTGAACATAGTTCCTGGCTCTGCCACAAAATCACAGTGTAACATTGGCCCAGATACAGTTTTTTTTAAAAACCTTTTGTTGTTATGTAGAATATTTTTTGAACTCCAATAAAAAATGGTAAGAAATACCTTTTAGGTTGTTGCAAGGTTTAAAGATAACATATGTAAAATTTCTAGGCATAACAGAGGGTATCAATATTAGTACTAGTTACCAGCAAATTTTTATCCACTTATATATTTTTTTACTGAAATTATAAATTACCAGCTTTAAATCACTTTACCCCATATATTTCAACCAGTAGGTTTTGCATTTTTGCCCTTCATAGAAAATCACTTATATTTCGACAAGCAGCCTATGACTGCTGTCAAGGGAAACATAATTTTTCTGTTTAAAGCAAATAGAAGCCAGGTACAGTGGTGCATGCCTATAATAACCTAAGCGGCTTGGGAGGCTGAGGCAAGAGGGTTTCAAGTTCAAAGCCAGCCTCAGCAACTTAGTGAAACCCTGTTTCAAAATAAAAAATATAGATTGGGGGAATATGGCTTAGTGGTGAAGCACTCCTGGGTTTAACCCCCGGTACAAAAAAACAAAAAACAAAACAAAACAGGAGTTTACATTTTCAAAGAAGTAGAAGAGCTGGGATCTTACTATAATCGTGAGTTCTTCTGTAGAGTTTTTCTCACAGGGAAAATCCATTTTGGATCTTCTCCCACCCCGCAGTTAGGATAGATTTCTGAATTCAGGGTAAGCAAAAGGACATTTAGAGGTCTGGGGGTTTAGCATAGTAGAAAGCCCAGGGTTTGATCCTAATACCATGGGAGGAAAAAAAGACATTTAAAATTAGGATTTATCTCAGTGAAAATTTATTTTCATTTCTTTTGTTTATTCCATATGGGTTCTTCAATATTGATTTATTAGTTAAATAAGTATTAAGAGAACTTCTATTTAATAAATCAGCAATTGGCAAACTATGGATTGTGGTAGTCTACTTAATGTTACCATGAATAAAATATCCAACAGGACCACCTTAGAGGAGGAAAAGTTTATTATGGGCTCATGGTTTTAAAGATTCAGTCCATGGTTAGCTGACTGCCATCTCTTTGGTCCCAAGGTGAGGCAGAACACCATGGCGAAAGGACAGGCAGTAGAGGAAAGCTGCTCACCTCATGGTATCCAGAAAGCAGGAGAAAGTGGCAGGAACCCTGGACACAATACATAAACTCCAAAGGCACCCCCTCCAGTGACCAAACTATACCTCCAGCCATGCCCCACCAGCCTACAATTACCACCCAATTAGTCCATTTAAATTGTTAATTTGTAAAATGGATTAATCCATTGATTAGATGACAACCCTCATAATCTAATTATTTCAACTCTTGCATTAACTTATGTGCTTTGCTGGGTCATTTCATATCCAAACCATACAATAGACTGTAGGCCAAGTCCAGCTCACTGCCTGTTTCTGTGAAAAGTTAGATTGGAACATGGCCACTCTGATTTGTTTCTATATTGTCTAATGGCTTTGAGCTTCAGAGATGGGAAGTTACAACAGAGAACTACAAAGTCTAAAATATGTCCTATGTATGCTAGAGGTAGCAGTAGAAACTAAAAACCACTAGGAACCATGATACTAACATTTTTTCTATTTCTGTTTCTATCTGCATCTCTGGATCCTTCTCGACTCTCTTCTTTGCTTTTCTTTGTAATTCTGCCTCTTTCTCCAGCTTATCACCAGCCTGCTCCCTCTTTGTTCATCAATTCCAATCGTTTTTTCTAAATGACAGCCTCAACCCTGAGTCTGCATCACTTAACAGGACTACTACTCACCACTAACAGACATAGTCTTTCTGTGTTCTCCAGGGAAACAGTCAGGTAGCATCCTTTGTCTACTAAGGGTGGGGGTCATATGTCGTATTCTCCACTTAGCAGTGGTTTATGAGAGCAAGTGCTCTAAGATAGGACAGGCAATTTCTTCAGGTAGGTTGGCATGTGATACTGGGGGTGGACATGATTGACCCCTCCATTATAACAGTGCATTTAAACAGGGCTACTTAAATGTTATTGAACCAGTGTAAAATAACTGTACGGTGTAACTGGTTTATAGAGGAAAAATATATATAGTCATAATTATTCTTTGTATTACATATAAAAGTTATATCAATTTTTAGTTTAATTAAAGACAATATACAGAATAAATATCCCTTGTCCAAAATGTTTGGGACCAGAAGTGTTTCAAATTTTGGAGTTTCAAGTTTTAGATTTTGTGATGTTTTCATAGACTATCAGTTTATAAATTCCTAATCTGAAAATCTGTAATTTCATAGGGTTTTGTATTTTCAGATAAGGGATGTTTGACCTATAATGATGTCATTAAAGGGAATCTAAAACAACAAAAACTCATTCATAGTTCTGACACTGTAATCTGGTTTATTAAATTTTTCTATTTCCAGGCTTTTCCCTAAGCGTATGAAATTTTTACAGTTATAATAGAATTTTGCATTCTGTGATTCATTTGTCATTCTGTTTTTCTTTGTTTTCCATCAAATATTTCATTATCATTTGTTTATAATAGTTTATAATTGTGCACAATTATAAGTAGCAGTCCAGTAAACTTCTTTGGGCATGGAGTTTTTTGCTTCTTTTTGAATTATTTCTTTAGGATAATTAATGGGTCCAAAATGTTTGGGTTTTTTTTTTTGGCTCTTGATGCAGATTAAATCTCTCAACAGGTTAAAAAAAAAAGAGAGCAGTAACATATGATCAATCTTTTCAGTGGACAGATGTCTTGATATTTGCTGCATTCATTTTGTCTAGATGACAATGAGGGGAGCAGCAGTGATACTGCCCCACTGTTCCAGATGGCAGGTGATGGAAAGGATACGGATGACATCAAGATCCCCATGCTATTCTTATTCAGCAAAGAAGGAAGTATCATATTAGATGCCATCCGGGAATATGAGGAGGTCGAAGTGCTCCTTTCTGATAAAGCAAAAGATCGAGGTAAGGGTAAAAATAATTTTTTTGTGTGTGTGTGCAGCTTAGCATTAATTTTTCTAGTTTTACAACAAAAATGAGTTACCAGAATGTGAGAGTTGTATGTGTGTATGTGTTTTTCATTGGTAAAGTAAGTAAAATTTTTAGATGATTTCAGGATATATTTTGGTTTGAAAATAAAGAGTAGTAAAATATTTATTTGCTCGGTTTTCTGAATCAGAATGATTGTACAATTATATTTTTATATGTAATTTATAATTTTTACCATGGTTCTGTCCAGGTGATAAATACACAACATCAAGAAAGCCATTTTCATATTTTCCATTCAGTTTCACTGATTGCTTTGATGTCTTTTATAAGGAAAAAGAATAGGTGGTATAGAATGATGTTATCTAATATATGATAGTAATTTGTCTCACCAGCTGCTTATACTCATAAAACCATTGTCTTGATGATGGCCATAGAAATCTAGCAGTATTGTACTACTGATAATCTAGGTTTATCACCTGGGTATTTATAAGAGTGGCTGTGCCTGAAGAACAAGATAACATACCTTAATTCAGGAAAGCATGTGGTCCTCTTTAGGCCAAAGTGAGTGTTAGGTTTTAAAAGAGCTTTCAAATTACTACTATATAAAGGAAAGGTCTTACTGGTATTCTTTTATAGTTTACACCCAGGGATAGGTGAGAGATGAGGGAATGTGAACCATCAGACATGGGCTGTGATCCTGCTTGTGGTAGCAGTCTTTTTTACTTGCTGCAGACACCCTGTGCCTCCCTTCCCTCTTACATGAGTGGAGTTGTACAGTTTGTATAGGGTTGCTACGTCCCCTATCGTATTTGGTAGATGTGTAGGAAACTGATTGATTTCATTGTGACTTCCAAGTGGGACATTCTTTAAAAAAAAAAAAAAAGTTTGTTAGTAATCTGATGTTTGCTTTTCAGTGTTTTGTCTTCTTTATCCTTTAAGATTCTTTGCATTGTCAGCTACTGAAGAGCAATGGAGTAGGCTGTAGGCTATATATATGTAAGGACACATAGATGGAAGAGAGTACAAGAGTACAAGGTTTTCTTCTTAAATCCTCCTATGTGCCTTATTTTCTCCCTTCCCCCAGGCCCTTTTTCTAAATTTAGATCTTCATTTCTACATACATGAAATTAGGCACACTAAACATAGGCAAATTAATATTATTTTATGTAACTCTTTAATGCCTTTGCTTTTTCCCCCCATTTTGTGCTGTCATTGGAATTTCAGCAGCAATATTAAAAGGTAAAATGATTCCAAGCTACATTATTAATAGTAGTAAGTATCTTGCATTAATAAGCCTTAAATTATATATGTGTATGTGTTGTACAGACACACATATACATATATAATTTTGTTTCAGTGAATACCATCATAATTTCTTGTTTAATGTAATTAAATTATTTTCATGCCTAGCCAGCCATCCCATAATAAATATAATTCTTTGTCAAGCCTGTCATAACAAATTCTATAAAGTATACATTCTGTATAGTAGATGGATTCACTAGTTCATGTTCATATAAGAGTCACTGTAAGCTGGGTATGGTGGTGCATGCCTGTAATTCCAGCAGCTGGGAAGGCTGAGGTAGGAAGATCGTGAGTTAAAAACCCACCTCAGCAACTTAGCGAGGTCCTAAGTGAGTCAGTGAGACCCTGTCTCTAAATAAAATACAAAAAAGGCTGGGGATGTGGCTCAGTGTTGAGTTCAGTCCCCAGTACTAACAGCATTGTTATTTAGGTAATTATTACTTTGGATCATTTTTTGTTTAAATACAAGTAAAATTTTAAAATATTGATTTGTTTTAAAAGCTGACAATGGAGGGGGCACACATGGGGTTAGGACTACAAGATTATGGTAAAGAATGTACTTCCCATACTAGAGAAAGGATTTAAGAAAGGACTAATTCTATGAGGGAAAAAGAAGTTTGTTAAACAGTACTCTTAGGGATTTTACAGTGAAAGGACATTATTTCAGTGATTTTTAAAATTTATTGTGATTCTATTACATCATGATCCTTAGATTAAAAAGTCTTAGAAATCCTGTTGTATAACATCTCTTTTGAGAACTATACAGCTCTATCAAACCAAATCAGCAACAAGTTTTAATTATTAATATTTGATTGTGACAAAAATCCATGATAATAATTTAATGAAATTAACTACTTTATTCATTTAGGATAATGTTCTAAGAAGTTAAGGTCTGTAGTGTTATCATTAATTTGTCCTGAATTATTACATAGACATGTTTCTCCCCTGTATTAGAGTCAGCTGATGTACCTGTTAAAAGTGTAGCGTCCTTAATCCTACACCAAGGTATTGAATCAGACTCTCTGCAGACAAGAGTCAGATCCTACTACTTCACAGTCACTTGCATCCCAGGCAACTGTGAAGTAGTAGTTCCTCAGCTATATTGTGAAGAAACAGATGTGTATGGCCATTTGGGATCATTATGGGTAGTAGTTAAGATTACATAAATACATCAGATAGTAACAGCCTTAAAATTCAAACAGTAAAATATCCTCCAAATTGTTCTAACAACCTCATTCCACCTATATGTATTTTTCTTTATAAAGTCACCATACTGATTGAGCAGTCCTTTGCATATATAACACAGAAAACAGAAGCCCCCAAACAAGCCCCTGTTCCCACTTCCATCTTCTTCTTCTGGTAAATTCTAGTCATTAGTGTACACATACGTGAAATAGTCCTGCCTGCTTGCCACAATCTTTAGATATCTTATTACCCATTTTTCTTCAGATGATAAAACATTAGTGATTTATCAAGTGAAAATATTGCTTCCTTGAGCCAAATCAGTGGCACTTCTAAAAGTCGTCTGCATTCTGTTGTTGAACAAAATGTTTAATATTGTCTCTCGTGTGTCTCATCTTTCTGAAATTTCAGTTTATAAAATACTTAATAATTCCAATCCTAGTGCCCACAAACAAAAGACAAACTTTTGTTACCTTTAGATCCAAATTGAGGCAATTTACAATTAAGAATCAACTTCTTCTTTTCCTTAATATTTCTCAAGGAGGATAAATCAGCATTTTGAAGTTCCAGTACATTGTCATGCTTGCAGCTTACAGTGCTATAGAAAGACATTTTCAGGGCTACTCCTATATTTGTATCTACCTGGTAAAAAAGCAGAGAAAATGGGGGGAAAGATTTTTCAAAATTAATAAGGTCTCAGGGCTGGAGTTGTAGTAGTAAGAGCACTTACCTGGCATGTGTGAGGCACTGGGTTTTACCCTCAGCACCACATTAAAACAAATAATTAAAATTACAAAAGTAAATAAGGTTTCATCCTTTGAACTGCTCCCAATTTAAGTCAGGCAGTGTCACTTTTCCTAAGATTATTCCCTGCTCAAATTGGTTGTGGTGAATATGTTCTATACTTGAACTGTAGAACTCAGATGGCTGAAAAGATTTGACTCCAAGGGAAAAAACTCTAGAACATATTTGCCTGGAGAGGAACATCCCAAACCTTTTTATTGGCAGAATTGCTACTTAGCTACCGTCCTTCTCTAACGACTGCACATTTTTGCATGCTCTTTTGCATTTGCACATATCTTCTCTCTTTCTGGAAATGCCTTATCAATCTCTGTCCCTATCCCCATGGCCCTTTTCCCCTTTGAGAACACTAGAAAATGTGTCCCTGTCCCCTGAATGTCCAGTTGAAACGGCATCTTGGTAAGAAATTTTCTCTTACTGTCCCGTAAAATCTAAGGTGTCTTTTTATAGTTCTATGATATTTATATGACATTATATAGTTCTTTACATTAAATAGTTCTCTGTATTCCTTGCTTCAGTAAACAGTGTACAGAGGAAAGAAGGAAGAAAATCCAATTTCTTAAGTCTTTACTAAGATTCCTGTCCCTTTTTATTAATACTGATTTTCTTTTCTTTGGATCTCAAGATTTTCTTCTTTCTTTGCTTCCTGTATTTCTGCTACAGCATTCCAGAATTTAATGTAATAGTTACATTCTTTTTTTAAAATTTTTTTATTGGTGCATTATAGTTGTACATAATGGTGGACATGCCCACAATATAAAAATTATACTCTTGAAACTATGATCACTGGTAAAAAACAAGCATCTTGGAATAAAGATTTATAGTAGTATGAAGGACCTTAACTCCAACTACCATTTTTATTTTCCTGACTGCTGCCAGTATTTCTCATTCTATGTAGTTCCATAAGTTTGTGAAAACCAAAATGTTTTCTTCTTGATATCTTAACCATCCACCTTTACTTTTCAATTTAGTTGGCCTCATATAGTAATTATTGCTATCATTTGGAAAACTTTTTTTTTTTGTAATCATCACTTACTTGGCATTCTTAATTATCATTTAATCAGGCATCTCTAAACACTCTATTTTTCAAGAGTCATAGAAATAAAGTTGCACAGTATGCTTTTTAAGTCAGGATTGTTTTGATTAATGATGTGTTTATGAAATTTATACATAATATGGGTAGAATTTATTTATTTTCATTGCTATATCAAATTCTTTTGTATGAACATAGCACAAATTATTTATCCATTCTACTATTGCTGGACATGTGGTTTGTTTCCAGTTTGGGTCTATTACAAACACAGCTGCTATAACCATTATTGAGCATGTCCATATGGAGTTGCTGGATAATAGAGTATATGTATGCTTGCTTGCTTTAGCGGATATGCCAAACTATTCTCCAAAGGGATTATACAAATTTTCACTCTCACCAGTAGTGTATGAAGCTTCTCTTACTCTACATTTTTGCCGATGCTTATTATGGTCATTTCTTTTAATTTTAGCCATTCTGGATAGTGTTCTCCATGAATACATCTAATTTGTATTCAGTTTTTGCATTTCACTGGTTGCTAATGGGGTTGACTCCTTTTTCATGTATTTATAGGGCAATTGGATATTCTCTTCTATGAAATGCCTCCTCAACGTTCTTGCACATTTTTCTGTTGGTTTGCCTGTATTTTTCTTATTGATTT